CACAAATATTTTACCCAAGGGGTTATTAGGCCTTGGATTTAACAGGTCAATTTCATAGAGCCTCTACCTTCAGTCCATAAGGAGCCTGGACTCATCAGGGAGTCTACCTATTAGAAAGTCTTTGTAAAGCTCAGAGACTAAATACGTTGTACTCGACTAAAATATCCGTGTGTACACCCAATGTTCGTCTTTAAATAAAAATGATCCGTCTCTACCATATGTTTCTGGGGTAGTTGTCCTGACAATCGGTTCGGTTGCTTTGTCGATCCGGCTTGTAGTTTGCCCAGTCGTTAGGATTCGAGTTTCTGTTCATGATGTATACGCTGAGATTTTCTTTGGTGATAAACGTTGTCCGCATAAAAGGCCTCTTATAGGGCTGCTAAAGAAACTCACACGCTCAAGTTGGGCTCCAATAGAGGCCGATAACCTAAAGATTATTTGCGGAACTGAATCAACGTGCAATCTCTAAGCTGAGATTGAGGTAAAGGTCGAAGTGCAGAGCTAGCTTCTTGGATGGAAGACCAATGATCGGAGATATAATGTTGTGCTGGGTTTAGATTCCATGTTTTGAGTTCATCCGCATAGGTCCTCGAGGAAAGGGCTGATGACTACTTAGGAAACTTAAAAAATGAACATTTTAGATCGACAACACGATTAAAGTTTGGCCTAGACGCCTAAAGACTTCAAAGTATGTAACAGATTTTCAATATCTACTGTGCACTGCTTTCAGTCCTCTATAAAAGACGTTTCTTCCGCACAGCTTGGAGTTTGGATTGAGGCCTGACGCTGAACTGTTTTACTGGTAATCAGCGATGTTTATCAGAAATGGGCCCGTTATAACTCGGTAAACCAAATAGCTTGATGCCTTAATAAACTTAAGTCAAGGCGGGAGCCTGAATATTTATTATACAGGGGGCAGGCATTACAGTGGCCGAACCGCCTCCTAATGCCAATCTTATTTAGGACAACGTCCTACCCCTTTATAAAAAATGGCCCGTGAGGATAGTCTGAATTGAGTAATACCGCCGATCTCGCTATACGCGCGTGCTGAGAGCCCTCTCATTTCCACGGCACCCACCATCGGA